CTTCCTCTTTGCTGTGATGTTTGGTGATCTCGGACATGGTACACTTATGGCACTATTCGGTTTATGGATGATACGCAAGGAGAAGGGTTTGGCTGCACAGAAGACTACAAATGAAATTTGGAATATATTTTTCGGTGGTCGTTACATAATATTCCTAATGGGCGTATTCTCCATGTATACGGGCTTAATTTATAACGATATATTCTCAAAGTCGCTAAATGTATTCGGTTCACATTGGCATGTCAACTATAATAGGACAACAGTACTGAATAATAAACATTTGCAATTGAATCCCAGCACTGCTGACTATGAAGGCGAACCCTATCCATTTGGTATGGATCCCATTTGGCAAGTGGCCACAGCCAATAAGATTATATTTCAAAATTCATACAAAATGAAGATATCAATTATACTCGGTGTGATTCACATGATTTTCGGCGTGTCTTTGAGTCTCCATAATCACACTTACTTCAAAAACCGAAATGCTCTGCTCTATGAATTCATACCGCAGTTGGTCTTCTTGATAATGATGTTCTTTTATTTGGCACTGTTGATGTTTATCAAATGGAATAGATATGCTGCGACTAATCTCCGTAAGTAGTCAAACAATTCAATAGTTTTTCTACATTAAATTACAAACTTTATTTTATATATGTACATATTTATATATAATTCGCTAATCTTTAATAGCCCCCTACTCTGCTGGTTGCGCTCCCTCGATTTTGATTACTTTCATTGATATGGTTTTGGGTAATACGCCGAAGACACCACCCGAAGATTGCAACTCATATATGTACGCTGGCCAATCGTTCTTCCAGAAATTGTTCCGTTTCGTCGCTCTCTGTTGTATACCTGTAATGCTGCTCGGCAAGCCACTTAAGATTATTCAACAGCGTCGACAAGCAAACGTAAGTTGAAGGAGCTTAACAATCAGCAAAAAATATAGTTAGAAATACTTCAATGTGTTTATATTTTATTGGCAAGCGAATCGTTCATTATCACCATTCATCGCTAATCATGACATGCACAGTTTATTATACCCTGAACAGGGTTAATTAAAATTGGTGCGAAGTTTGTAAGACCCGGAATCAAGCGACGGAGACTCTATAAAATGTATATATAAATCATCAGTATGATGAAAATTTAGCCATACCCGTCTAACTGTCCGTCCGGCCATCTCTCTGTGTAAACGCGAACTAATCCGTCAGTTGTTGATATATCGGTTGAAAATTTTTCTCCTAAAATAGCTGCTCATTTGTCGGAAACTCCGATATCGGACCGCAATTTGTAGCTGTCATACAAACTGATCCCTTTTTATCTGACGAGCTACCTTTACAAAAATTTACTTAAATTTTTTTTCAAGGAAGGTACAATCTCTGATAAGACCTCTATAGCTACTATACAAAATGATCAGTCAAAATCTTTTGTATGAAATATTTTGTATTTGTTAAGGACACGAAAGCTTCGGTGCAACCAAAGTTAACGTTTTTTCTCGTTTTATTGTTCCATGGTTAATAGTTGCAATAATTTGACTGCGAAAATACGTTTAATTGCAATATGTATTGCATACTTTTAAGAGCACACGTATATTCAAATCAAAATTGTATTATCTAGCAGCAAATTACTAGTTAGAAACGAACTCATTTTGTATGTACTGTAGTTAAAAATGCAGAATAAGAAATGTTCAAAAGAAATCATAATTTCCTACATCAAACTCACCTTAAGGGACACACCTAGTATGACCGCAAAAAAATAAAAAAGTTCTCTACTACTGCAGTACTCACAGTGGTTGAAAGAAAAAATAAATAAAAATGAAATATAGAAGTGACAGACTTAAGAAAAAAATTAAATAATACTCAAATATGCGACTTTGAGCAAAACGCGTTTGAAAATAAACTTTTGAACTGAGCGACTACACTTTAGATGCCTGTAACTCAAAGAATATTTGTAGTATTCTTTTAAATTTTTAGTATGTTATTTTTAAAAGTGTATACTTACGAAATTTGCAAAACCAAAAACAAAATTTTTTTTTTCTTAATTTCACTCTAGGTGTGTCCCCTAAACAACATCACGTTCACTTACTCCTTTTGCCTTAACCACCTACATACTTTTTAATTTCACTAATATTTACGAAATAAATTATAAAAGTGTTGTAATGTTTTAATGTCTTTATTATTTTGTACTTTTCCTCAAATTTCGGCATTTACCACAAAATATGTACGTCTCAAAACCAAAATTAATAACAAAAAACACTAAAAAAAAACCCAACAAATTAAATTACATACACAGGAGGAGGTTAGTTGTATGCGTAGAAAATATGTCTAAAACTGTAAAAACCTACATACATATAAATATGTACTTTGCAATATTTTTGTGTTTATTTTTTTTTAACATTAACGTTTATGTTTCGCTTACCATCAGCGTCAAAATCTAACTGGCGCCACAAGCGATGCGGAAGTGGGCATGACTAACGGCACTGCTGGCGGTGTTGCCGGGCACGGTGGCGGCGGCGATCCACACGAGGAGGAGGAACTTTCCGAAATCGCCATACATCAAGGCATACACACTATCGAATTCGTTTTGGGCTCCGTATCGCATACAGCATCGTATTTACGTTTATGGGCACTGTCTTTGGCACACGCACGTAAGTGTAGAGCACATACGCACATGACTTAATACTTAATACACATATACATGTTCGTACACATACATATATGTTGAATAAAATATTTCTTTATGTTATTTAATTGCAATATATGTCGCACATTTTTCCAGAATTGGCTGAGGTTTTGTGGAATATGGTTCTGTCGATTGGCTTGAAGCAGGAGGGTTGGACCGGCGGTATTATGTTGACTATTGTTTTCGCCTTCTGGGCCATACTCACTGTGGGCATTTTGGTGTTAATGGAGGGCTTGTCAGCATTCTTGCATACTCTACGTCTCCATTGGTGCGTTGCTGCTTAATATCATAATATCGCCTATTATATATTATAACTACTCATTACTTTTTCTTCTAGGGTTGAATTTCAAAGCAAGTTTTACAAAGGTACCGGTTACGCTTTTCAACCGTTCTCTTTCGATCAAATTATTGAAAATGGCGGCGCCGCTGCAGTGGAAGGTGCCGAGTAAATCAATGACTGTCGATTGAAATATATTGCAATTTTGAACGACAGTGGTTGCACTTCAAGCACATCACATTAACATTGAAGAATTTATGCACACATACATTTATAAAAAAGTAATTATTTAAATATGTATTAAGCAGTTATGGAATTTAATAATGTAACATTCACATAAAGCTAATCTAATTGAACTTAGTGGAATTATATATACACATACTTACTATAATCACATATATATTACATGTTTACTAAAAACAAGAAGGCTTCTGAAATGCTTTGTAAGGCGATGTGAGGAAACGTTTGGGAATACTTGTGAAAACTTACATATGCTCGCTGTTCGACTAGCAAATGAGATTATCCCATATAGTACTATATGCATATATATTTAAATATACATATACAGTTTTATGTTTCATGTAATAATAATTTTAATGTTACGAKAATTCTTTGCATAAAATAACGCTTTTAGCATTCATCGACAAACATAAAAAATGTATGTATACAAAAATATATGAATTCAATTATTTATGTAGTTATCGGCAACTAATAATACGCATTTCTATGTATTTTTTTAAATAAAATATGTTTATTTTCCTCAACACAGTTTATTTATCAACTTTTTAGAAAACTACTTAATATTGCATTATAAACTTGACGTTCCTAATAATTAATAATATAAAGCTTTGTAAGTTGAGTTATAAAAGCATTCACACATACATATAAATATTTTGTGGCACTCCATATCTCAGTTAATAGACAATGCTGAATCTGTGCAATTTACAACAAGCATAAAATTTTCGGTTATTCTATTAATATCTTGACATGAATAACTTATAATTATCTGAATATAACCAAATAAAATGTAGAAAATGTTGTTCAGAAAATATGCAAATAAAAAACAGCCCACGAGGCGAAAAACAGTGTGGCATCTAAATTACATTTCTATACGTACAAGAGGCGTTTCAAAAAAAACAGGACTTAAAAAAAACCAGAACAAATGTTTTTTTCGGCAAAATCAATTTATTTTATTCAAAATAGTCTCTTCTGCTTCAATACAGGTTTTTGCATGGTCCAAAAGCATATCGAACGAGTGTTTTAGCTCGTTGGCCGGTATGGCCGCCAGTATGCCGGTTCAAACCTTTGCCGAAAAATGCATTTTCGATAAAGACAGCAGGTTCTAACGCACCAGTTGACATATAGATGGCGCCAACAGGGGGGTTCTCTGCGTTCTGTTTAGTTTGGAACGCATCTTATATATACGTTTTAATAGTTTTCATATTTTTTGCGTTAATAATTTAACTGACTGCTTTTTACGAATTTCTTATTTTGTCGAGCTCGCAGTTGTAAATTGTGTTCGATTGGCCGGAAACGGGAATCCATTTCCAGTGGCAAAACCAATCGATTGTCTTTACCTCATTTCTATAAAGCAATATGGGATGCAAATTGTTTTTTCAAACTAGTTTTAATTTTCTAATTATGTATTTAGTTTTCCTTTGCTGAACATAGCGCGCAATCTTTTCTCAAAATGATTGTTTTCAAATACCGCCTTCCGAATGCGGTGTTGTAGCTCATTGTACATGAATTCGGAATTGTTATCGATTTACGATCGTTTTCTCGTTAGCTATCCATCAGTTAATTCATAAACCGAAATCTTAAATATTTGGAAAGATGTAATTTGACAACTTGTTATATGTTGGTAATGATAGGAAGATTCTATTCTTATTTCTTACGCCACTACAAAAACTAAGAAAATATTATTTATAGTCCACTGTTTAGAAAAAGTTATTATTGATATATTTACACATATGTTCATGGACTAAATATGATTCCTCAATCATTATTGTGACCTTATTTGTGAAAATGAAGAAGATATTGAAAACAAAACAAGAAAAACGCGCGGAAAGTAATACAAATTAAGCATCTTCCATGAATATTTGCGCACATTTCTTGGTGTGGCACGGAGTACAAAAAATTATATTTATTTTTAATAAAATCAGTTTTAATGCTTTGCAGCAAAATGTCAGTGGATAAATCACCTTTAAGGAAAAGTGTAGGAGAAAGCAGTCTGAATTCGTCTTCTTCCTCATTCCGTGGTTGTTGGGCAGAAGAGATGCAGGACCATGACAATAATGGGGTAAGCTTTGAAAACATTAGGACATTTATTTGCTTATTATAAATATAATATATTTACACAAAAACAGCAACAACAGTCGTTCAACAGCAGCGGAGAGATGTCTAGCAAAAATGACAACGAAGATGTTAATAAATCCAAACATTCGGTATCGCAAGAACGCGAAATATCTTTGGAATTCATTGATGGTGCAAATGAAGAAAAATTTGAACGATTAGTCAAGGAGGATAAAATAAAAACGCCTTTCAAAAGGCGCTACTCACAAACACCGAGCAACGGCAGTCGCTCGGACAGTCCGAACGACTCAAATAGTGATAATAGTGCCGGAGGTGATGCAGGCACTTTTAAGCGCACAACTAATAATGTCAACAATCAACATGACATTCAGAAACGTTTACGTTATAATAGTTATGGCTCTAACACCTCATCCAATAAGGAAAAACAAGTAGAGGATGATCCTGTTATATTAGCGCGCCGTCAGAAGCAAATTGAATATGGCAAAAACACTGTAGCTTACGAACGTTACATTGAGATGGTGCCAATACGCCAGCGTACACGCAGTCATCCCCGTACGCCGAATAAATATGGAAAATACAGTCGCCGCACTTTTGATGGACTGATAAAAGTATGGCGCAAACAATTACATTACTATGATCCCGAACCTGCAGCTGGCACTGCTGGTGGTGCTGACGACGACGATGATGATTCGGATTAGTTGCTCTCACTGCGCAAAATTGCGTTTACTATAAAACAAATAGTCTTCTACGTGTTTTCATGTTTATTTTTAATCAACTTTGCTTGTTGTAAATGCTCACTTTCTGTTTGTATTAGTATACTATATAGCGAGTACTATATTGTTAAGTTCTAAGTAAAATGCTGAGAGTAATGAATGTGTACAAAAATGAAAGTTATGTGAAAAAGTTTACAATAATATTTAAAAAGGGGAAATCAATTAAATTTATGCACAATATACTTACTTTTTCGCACAGATTGTTAACTATTATAGCGTATAAGGCAAGATCCTTTCAGGTGGGCCAGTGCTTTAGCTGAAACCTTTATACCTTACTAAAATAAAAACTACCTGTAATTAATTCATATAATACATATGCTTAAATATATACCGAATAAAACATTACTAAAGCAAATTAATATTTTACAGCCTAATATTTTAAAGAGGTCACGAATTATAATCAAATTTGACCCGGATTTTCGTGTTTCGTTTTTCGTTGAAGTTTGATCTCATATCACAATTAGCCGTTTGGCAGCTGTTTGTTTATGAATTTTATTATAAAAAAAATAAAAAATAAAATTTTGTTTGCCAATGGAATCACGGCTGTGGAATTAAAAAGAAAGAAGTGTTTTGGGAAGTATATTAAATTATATATATTCATCAAAAGCATATGTAATTACTGGTAACGAGAAGTTAGTTTATGAATATGTCGTAAAACTGTCCAACAGTCTGGCAAATGGCGCTGAAAAAATGAGCCGAAATCGTAAAAACCAGATTAGCATAAGACACTGAAGACCATCCCACCCATTTCAAGCTCATTTTGAAGGAGTTTATATTAAAACACGTGAATATTTCTTTTTTTTGTGATTCCGAGTCAAATTTGATCAGATGTAATAAATAGGATTTGCCGTTCTGATCGTCGTATATTGTTGTTTTTGCTACCGTTAATAGAGAAAGTTGGCAGTTCCCACGATAGTCCGTTCTACTTAACCGGAACGGACCCGGATTTTTTATCCGGTCAAGAACTGTCAACTAGGCAGAACAACAACAGCAACAAGGCAATAAAATTGGCAATTTAAGAGGATGTGAAAGAGTATTGAGTATAAATATAGATGTTTCTTCTTCGATGAACTCATATCTGTATATTTTTGTAAAATTTACATAATACATACATAAATATTTTGTGCTCATATTATTTATTATAAATATTATGATAAATGTGGAATGTTTTAAAAATTTGTGCTTAATACTATTTGTCGTTGTCGTTTTAGGTGTATAACTTACATAGTTATTAAAAATATTATTTTATTTTAGTTGTATTAGAATCTCTAATAATGTTCGCTTATGTTTATGAAGATAATTCAATTGTCATATTAATTTAATTTATGGACGTTTTCGTTTTTATGTTTAAATGGCAAACTTTGTCTTAATTCAGCAGAATATAAACTGCCTTTATTCCGATACTTTATTAAACTCGTGCTGATTGTGTGCGTCGTGCTTGTACCACATTCACCACCGTTATAATAATCCAAAAGATTACCGTTAACCAACTGCATATGAGTGTCATGTAGAGGCAAGCTCCGGTGTTGATGCGTCCATATTTGCGACGCTCATACGAAATGCTCTCCACCAAATAGTCCATGAAATCGAAAATCGCGTCACATGAAAGGCGTCCTTTTATGACTGGCACAATATTGCCAGCGCCCTGTAGTTCTTTAAGCAAAGATTCGCTGTACTGCTTGCAAGTGACGCGGAAGCCATCGCTGTAGATCGCAGCATAGATTAAAGTGTAAACGGCCATAACGCTAGAGATACCGGCAGCGGGTGTCCAGTAATAGGGAGAAATACCGTTGTGTGTCAATTCCGACTCCGCTGTGACGACAATCATATCACCGGTTCTGTGTAGACGGAGAAAGTTTTTAAATATGGTATGAAATATGTCAAAAGAGATTATAAGAATTTAATTAACAATTGTAGAATTTGGAAAATAATAATCAAGGCAACTTGTGTTGTGGTTTTTATATAAGGTTTATGTAGTTAAAAGAAATACACTAGTTTTTAATAAAGGACTTTAGTGATCGCATATGGTAAGTGCGACCGGGAGAGATGAGATTTCGTTATAAAAACTTTTCCAAACATTTTTTTTCTTAAGGGATGGTTGCTGAGGAAGAAAAGTAGATGATTTACGATAACGGCTGTGTTTGAATTTCGGTAAGCGAGCTTACTATGAGCTGCTTCAAAACTGGCAAACTCTTATTTCCCATCCCATCCCATGGAAACCCTGTTAAGCACTTTTATGCACTCCAGGATGAGATTGCTTGAAGTGCCACTTGACTATCACTGAGTATGACAGTACGTACGTACTCTATACCGGTCCCAATTCTATCTACCGCTTTCGAGCCATCTGCATACCATTACATTGTGCACCTACGATGTTAGACCTTAAGGATGGAGTCCTCCCATTTATTTTGTAGCCCTAAGAGTCTTTGACTACCTATTTAATGGTAAATCCAAACTTAAAATTATAACATAAAATATTTCCTATAATAAACCATAGCGCCCTTCCCCACCCTAATTTGGTCTCAATCATTAAAATAATCGTTATTTGCATACATAATGTCTTCGACTAACTCGACATATGAAAGTATGTACATTATATACACATAAAATGTGTGTGTTTGTTATGGTTCGCAACACTTAAGGCGTCAGTGAAATTTTTAACTATATGACAGTTTTAAATTGAATTTAATGCAAACCTCCAACTACACTTGCAATTCGAAATACATTTGTACATACAAATATACGCGAGTAATGGTTATTAACCTTTGACAGAGTTTAAATTAATAACCAGCGACCACAAATTATTAGCTTAGCTGGTTAATTGACAAGCGAAGTTATCTATTTTGGCACGTCAAATTATGGGGTTACTCATAAGCTGTGTGTGACCCACTGAACGTCGAATATTATGATGATTTTTTTGGCTTTAAGTTACCGAAAAAATTAAATAAGGAAACATAATACATTGTAGTTTTCAAAACAGTGTTGTATGTTTGCCTTTTTGAGGTTAAGTTGAATTAGATCATAGTTGAATGTATTATAATTTACAGTTTTAGTGTTTTATCTACTGCTAACATTTAGTTAATATTCTAAACTATAAATAAGTGTCTATATTAATACCGTTCCATCATGACCTTATCTTTTTTTTTCAGACATACATATGTACATATGGGCTTATAGAAATAATAAGGGTGATTCATCGAGTTAAAATGATATGAAGATAAAGAAGAGTATACATTTTAATATGGTTATTAAATTTGTGCTGAAAACTTGAGATTTTGTTCTTTGATATCATTTCTCTTATTTACTGTAATCTTAAACTCCAGAGAGCTTCCGGCTGAGAATAAATATTACAATTCTTTATTTCTTTAAAATATGTATATAACTTGAAGTTTAAAAGCTATAGACCTCCGTCTGAGATATCGTCGCCTCCAAAGAAAAAAATTAAATTAAAAATAAATTAAAATTAAATTAAATAATAAAATATGGCGTACCTAAGAACAATTTATCGCCGATGTTTCTAGTAGTCGATCGTTATTACAGAAGTCTTATCGACTTTACTCAATTTCTTGACTGGTCGCAAGATGTCCTGAAGCGACTTCTTGTCCAATATACCCAATTCTTTTTAACCCCTACAAACCCCGATTTTTCACCACTCATCAGTTGGGCACATATTTGACAAGAACCTCAAGAACATAAGAGATGTGTATCTCATAACTGTTACAAACACTTTTAAATTAAAGCACAGTTTTAATCTACAAAATCGCCGAGAAGCGCCCGACAGAAACGCCGCAAAACAACTGAGTAGGATTAGGAATTTTTAAATAATGAAGTTAGTAAATGCAAATTGTATAACCAATGCAACTCACCTATGCCGAATGGTGGTGGTGCCCGTTTTCCGTTTAGTTGTGCCCATACAAATCCTATACGCATGATAAATGCCCAACACAATGGCGAATAACAGTGGAAAGATCAGTCCGTATGTGGCGTAATGGCAATATGCTATGTGGCCACCCTCGAAGCTGGTGTACGTGGAGCGTCCATGCAGTATGCAGCCACAATTCGATTCCGGACAAGCATTCAACACATAGCGCCAATGTGCCCATGCAACGCCCGAGGTGATGCAGCAAATGACAGAGGTGGCTATAATGAGCGGATACAAATAGGCAAGCGCCCTTTCAGCGCCGTACGACATCTTTACTTCCACGAATGTGCACTTTACGGAATATGCGACAAAAGTTTTATTTTATAGAATCACTTTTTTTATTTAATTTGTTTAATAACAACTTTTATTTCGCTAAAATGCAAAGAAACTAAAAAATGTATAATGTTTTTGGTAGCCAAATTGGGAGAGAAGAAGCCAAGTGACGCTGCTCACTCTAACTTATTTTTGTTTTATTGTCTATGAGTTGATAAGACCAATTGGTGCGCCTTAAGCTTGCGCACCTGTGTAGGTGAGCAAGAGAGCGCAGTTGACTAACTCGCAGTTGTATCTATGTGTGTGTGCATGTATGCGTAGGTGAGCAGTTCGGCAGGTGAGATAGGAGAGGTGCCATTTTTCCTCCAGATAAGGTTAAATGCAAATCAAAATTTATGAGAGCGAATTGAAAATGAAAGTGGATCAAGAAAGATCAAAAAAAAAAAATGTTTAAATAAATAATTAAAACTTAATTTTTGGAAATCAAATATTTTTTAACACTTTTTTCCGCAAGTTTTTGCAAAAATAAAATATTTGAATTGCATTTTTAAATTAATAATCTGACACTGCTTCGAAATAATTTCTCAGGTGGCAACAATTGAAGGTGCCATACTCATTGAGTCACTGTCTAGCGCGCGTTTGACTGTAGTGGTGTATCTATGTGAATGGTCCTATCAAAACACCTGAGTATCACTAAATGTGAGGTGAATGCATTATCGCTAGCCAATGCGCTCTTAAACTATAAAAATAAAACCAAAAAAGCAGCATCAAAGAAGTGCGTTCACCTTCAAGTTTTCCCTTAAAACAAGTAGATTATTTTACACTAGACTATTTTCCAATTCACACAAATAATTCGAAATAAACTAATTCGTTCGTTAGTATACCGCGTCAGCGTAATAAACCTTCAACAACTCTGGCGCACTCAGACTGACTGGGCTCCTCACTGTTGTGGCTTGTTTGTCAACATACTAGCTAAAGAGCAGCTACTCTCAGCGCACTTGAGGCGGTGGTTTCGAAAAGAGCGTGCAAGAGTACCCTAAAGGCGCATTAGATATTGTGTCTGCTACTCACTTTAGAACGTCACTACTTTGGCTATGTTGCAATTGTCATGGTAGTTGATGGTTTATTAGTAAACAAATGGCAAACAGCAGCGTGTTCCCAGACAACGCCGGCCACTAATCAATGAGTGTGATTCATTCATTCATCTAAATAGCGTACGATTCCGGTGGTTACTTGAACTCGCAGTCGGATCTGCACTGGGCGTAGGGTTAATTGAATTTATGATAATTTTATGATTAAGACGCTTTGTACGCTTGACTTGACTTGACTTGTCACTCCGTGAATGGTGTTGCAGTAGCGAGTTAGTAAAATATAAATTGGATTATGGTATGGTATTATCTTCTACTTTGATCTTAAAGTAATTTCCACTAGATGTAATACACTTTTGCCAACGATTTTTCCAGTTATCGAAACACTTTTCATAAGCTCTTTTAGGGATGGCCTTAAGCTCCTTCAGCGAATTTTGTTTTATGTCTTTGATCGACTGAAAACGAGTTCCATGGGGCGCCAATTTCAGTTTGGGGAATAAGAAGAAGTCACACGGACCCAAACTTGGTGAATACGCTGGTTGATCGATGGTGTATTATCATAGTGTAAAATCCATGATATATACTTCTATAATTCCAGCTGTTTTCGACGAATGTTCGCACGCAAATGTCTCAGATTGGTCAAATAGAACTCCTTATTGACCGTCTATACCTCCAGAACAAATTCATTCATCAAACCACAAATATCGAAACAACAATGAGTATCACCTTGCTTTTTGAGCCGCTTTGGCCTGATTGTTTTGTTCCGGCTCGTTTTTTTCTCTCCATTTTTGTTTGCATGTCAAACTCATAAATCCAAGTCCCATCGGCAGTAATTGTGCTCTCCATGAATGTGGGATCGCACGATTAAGCGTATCCTGTTTACCGTATTATTAAAAAAAGAGTGAAGCAAGAACGTCTTTCATACCCAAAATATTCACCAAAACATTCGAACGGACTCGCGACAGATGTCGAGTTCTCTTGTCACCTTTCTCACACTTGCCTGACGATTTTCAAGCACCATATCCTTTTTTAATATTTTCATCAGTTGAAGAGCGTCCGGAACGAGGCATGACTTCTACGATCTCTCGATCGTCTTTGAAAGGACCTGGTAATCACTTGAATCTCCAATTATCGCCAAACAGCGAAAAGCAGTGTCTACGCCAATAAAGAAAAAAAGAAGAATTCATTTGATTTCAAGAAAAACCCCGTTGTTTAATTTTCATAAGTGAACAGCTGCCAATCGCACACTAATTGACATACATATGTATGTATACAAAAAGGTTGTACGAATTTAGGAACTTGTTTATCAATTTGGTTTGGCTGCGCCATTAAAATAGAACAATCCGGGTCAAATTTGATCACATCGTTTTATGAGCTTTTAACTTTTTAAGCTTACTAAAAGTAACTTTTTATCAGCTATGTTTAGGTAAAAAATATGAAAACTAAATCTTCACAAATACAAAGTTGTTTTTAGTAGAATAACTAAAATTTATATCAGATACACAAAAATGAATTATAAGTATGTACGCCATTTGCAATTTATTGAAGACATTAACGTCGAAATTCAATCAATTTTATAGCCAACAGTTCTTCAATTCTTCTGCCAAAAGCGATATTTTAATTCCAAAAACTTTGCAGTCAATAATGCACATACTTACATACTTACGTAAACATATAATATATACATTTAAAGCAATAAACAAGTTGAATTTGAATGCAACGCCAATAAACAGATGCCAAGGCAATCAATTTTTTGTATATTTATCCCAATTTGCTTCATTTATTTATTTATTGCAGCGCTCAGAAATATTTCAGTACAAATGTTTACACTTAGAAAGCATTCCTCGTTCCTTAGACATAGACCTACACTACAGAGGTACAGTATGGATGTACTCTAATGATCACTTCATCATAAAATGTGAAAGTCTTCGCTACAACAAGATAATTGTTCGAGTCAATGCTAAAAACTCGGAGCGTACGCACTTCAAGGACTTTGGGGACATGCCGTCCATCTATCACAACATGGTCGAACTGGTTTCCGGAGACAGCCAAGTAGCTTGATTTCTATACTGGAATCTATTACTACAGATAACCAAATTTCGGACCACAGCAAAGCCGATCAGCCTCAACTCATTTGGGACATTTCATCATGGAGGCTGAATTTACCGACCGCTTTATCAAAGCTACCTTCTTTACCCAATCTGGCGTTAAATAACACTCCAGTTCTGAGAGTATTCGATGCAGTACTCGCCAGGAAGTAGAGGAAAGGGAAGCCATCCACTCCGGTGGAGAAGGATATGGCTACTCTTTAAATCTCCAATTAGCGTCCAACAGAGAAAAGGAAGAGCGAATGACGCGCTGTTGTAAACTCCCAATAAAGAAAGAAGAAAAAGGAATCAGCGGCATTCCCTACTCATTGTTATCTTTTTTAACAACCGCCAGTCGGTACTACATTGGATGTTTAAAAACTTAGCATTCTCGATTATCTCCAAAACTTGAAAACTCTTTATTGCCTGGATGATACTTATTAAGTGACATCGCATGACACCTTTTTGATAAAGATATTGCTTAGGTAATTTTGCAGGTCTCAAGTTAGAAGACATTACCATTCATGGCAAAGATATGAACATTCGCTTCATTCATTCGCTTTGTCGTAGTATTGTTCTATAATATTTTAGTTTGGTAAAGAAAAATTGTTCTCTTTGATGGTGGATTCTAAGTTAAGTCGTCTCTCAGTCGAAGATAGTAGATGTGCCAATTTTCCTATTTTGAGTTCATGGTGTACCTGGCCACTTTATGCTGAAAATTCCACAATTTGTGTACTTAGGATGACACAGACTTGCACAAGATTCTTGAGATGGATAGCTTTAAAGAAGAATTTTGTTTCACAGGCACTTTGTGTAATCATAGAGCGATAAAACAAATTGTTTCTGTTTTTCTTTAAATTTTTTTTGGACTAACTTATGATGATCAGTCGAAATACCAAGGGAAGTTCATAAGCGTTTTGTCTCATCGTAGAGCGATATTAATGATTTTAAAGCAGTCTTTAGTGACTTTGGCTTCCGCAGCTTATTTTCAGGACTGCTAATAATGGCTATAAAAATTTTGAGATTTTGTTATAGTATAATTTTTTGGATACTTTTGGAGCTTTTGGATTTTGGCAATAAGCTCATTCTCATTTGTATTCCAGGTGCTTAGTGGGATGAATAAGGCAGTCCAGGATTTCTAGCATAATTTTTATATATCAAAATCAACTGCCGTTGCGAATTCTGAGGTTATGACTAATCTTACATAAAAGTGATCAATTTGCAGACAAACTGTAAATTTGCATAGAAAAAGAACAAACAGAAGTGATTGTTAGACACAGCGGCGTCCAAGTGGCGTTGATGTATGGTACATGACTATCTATGTTTGACATGATCGGGGTGAACGTTGCTATTTGGGCAAATGACGAAAATATTCATACAATATACATGTATGTATGTACGACATGCCTAAGTGTTGACGAGTTGTTTGGCGTATGTTAGTTGCCAATTCCTTTTTGTTAGGGCACAAAACGGTGCAAATCGGGCTAAACTGAATACGAGGAATATGGCTAAAAACAAAGTTGTACATACACACGCTTGTATGAACGTATGTTTATCTAAATTTATGTACATATGTATGCACTTGTAAAAAAATATATTTTTGTGAATTTGCACCGCCAAGTTCAGCATTCAGTTGTTCGGGATTTTTAGTGCAGCCAACATCATAATGCTTGGAGCATTGAAGGTGGAAAGTGAATCAATTAGAATTAAATAAAATTCATTTTAATTAAAGGTACATTTAATTGTGCTTCGTGATTACGTTCGTGTACGAAACTAAACGGTAATTAAATTTGTATACGGAGTTGCGTTCGAAAGAGTTTAAAAAATAAAATATCAAAAAAAAAAAAAAATAAAGAAATAAAAAAAAATTGTTTAAGCAAATAAAAATGAAATAAGAAAATGTAAATAAATAAAAAATAAAATATTCAATGAACTAAAGTAATAATAAATAATTATGCGTGTATACGCTATTTCAGCGCCAGCAAAATTTTTGTGGCATGACAATAGCCAATTTCTGTGGTTTTTTTTGTGGCGCCTTTCAAATTGTTTGAAAAAAAATTTAATTGAAAATTCTCCTCACGAAAAAAATTTTTGAAAATAAATCAATGCGTACCATTCATATTTTTAACACACCCATTTACCTTTTTATTGCCCCGGAATATTCGTGCATGAAAATAGACCACTTTAGTGGCTCGAAACATATGTGACTGCCAGCAAATGGCTCGTACTAAATACAACATACATGAACATATACATACAATACATACACACATATGTGTGTCAATATTTGCATATAAACGAACAACTCATTAAATGCTATTAAAATATAAACATTTTTGGTTGAAATTATGCCCTACAAAGGCAAGTTATTAATATTACAATGCAATTAAAAAATAAAATAAAATATATGAAAAAAAATCAACAAGTGACATAATTAAAAAATAACAGTAAAATAAACCATCTTAAAGTAATAAAAGTAAAATATCACAATTTCCTTTGAAGAAGCAATAAATTTTTGAAATTTCTAATTTATTATATTTTTTAATTTTTTGTTTTTAGCGATGCTTTTGAACGCGAATTTCTTTTTGTTTGTGCCAACAAGAATGCTGTCTCATTTCCGGCATTTCTTAACAGATTTTCTCTAGTCACAATATTCCGCACGTTTTTCATATTAATCACAGACATTTTAGTCAAAATAGGCCAATCTGCAGAAATATGTTCACTTCATTGTTTAAAAAAATTATTTTTCAGCATGGATATGTGAGTAGAAATATAAATGTTTCAGCTGTTTTGTAGAATGTTTGTGGCTCAAAGCTGTTAAAGGATGGATAAATGAAACAATGAACATTTTGATTCAAAGGCTTGGAAGTCAGAGTTTTAAAAATCCGTTTCTATAATTGAAAGACTTTTTTTAGCGGGCGAGTTTCTTACCCAATAGTTAGTTATCAACCTAAACCACTAAACCAATAGATTAAAGTGAACCGCAGTGTCAATGTCTCTTCAAAGGTTTTCAACAACGACAGGAATACCATCTGATCAGAGACGGACTGTTTGGCGATTTATACTATAAAAAAAAAAAAAAACACGTTTGTTTGAAATATTGTATTTGGAAACGTTGAAAAGTGATGGCAAAAGTATTACGGATAGTCTGCTTTATCACGATCAAAAGTGTTTTAGTGGCATAAAACATTTAGTGAAGATTGTGATGTCTTCGAAAATTTGCTCCTTGCGAGACATCCAGCTACTTCAGTTAATGACAATAACATCGAAAATGTTAAAGAAAATATGTTTGAAAATTGTTATCGATAGTAGAGGATCTCAATATCTCTAATGGATTGACGCAACACAATCTAGGTTAATGTTTTTTTCGGTTTCGGCTCACTTTCGGCCGACTAATCGTCTGTTTCCGGATCGTAAGCATAGATCCAAAACTCTTTGCCAGTAATAATACGTTTCATGACATCCCTAGTCGGAAAGGTTTGTTTCACAGACGTTAACGCGACGCTGTTTTTCGAAAAAGTTTAGTGATTTTGGAACCAATCGTGCTTTCAATTTCCTTAGGCCGAAGGATGTTTCAAAATGCTTTTCACTGGCCCCGATATTCCAGCGATGCCAGTAAGATTTCTGACTGTTAATCGTGGATTCTTAAGCACAAATTCCTTTATTTTATTGACCTGTTGATCATCAGTTGATGTTGATGAACGTCCTGTACGTGGTTCGTCGTCAACACATTCTGGATCCTCTTCATTTAAAATATGTAAAAATGTAAGTGTTCTTTATTTGTCAGGCCGGGTCAATTTGATTAGATGGTATATTGAACTAAGTACAATAAGAGTCAATGGCTCAGTAGTAAGTAGTCCCTCACGAAATCCCTTTGGAAGTGATCTGCGACCTATATTGAGTTCACCATACCATCGATAAACTTTGATGAAGCTTCATCGTCAAAAATAGAACTAAGTTCACCGATGCACTGTTACTGAGATAATCCAAGTCGAAAGATTTGAAAAATATTTGCGCGAAAGTGTTCGCGATTAAATTCCATTTTTTGGTCCAGATGAATATTTCAAGTTACTGTAAACAATACAAGTAACGACCGTATATCAAAAGGTTCTGAGTTTGTTTAACATTAAAAATGTCAAACTTTAGATCGAGCTGTCGGTTGCCAGATTGCCACAATAGAGTTTCAAAATCCAAATTATAAAAGGCAGCATGATTGCCGTAGGGCAAAAAAATGCCCAAATACTTTAAAAATCCTCATGGCATATTCGATTTTTGTACGCACATAATTCTTTTATCAAATAATGGAAAACCGCCATCACAAGTATAAAATACGATTTCATTGTAAGTCTCACAAAACTAATTTTCACATATTTCTTAAGGACTAGATGCCTTCGATTGGTAACTAATATTTCAAAAAGTGATGGAAGTGCTCTCGATTCGCCACTTTCTATCGTTTAGCGTTACCATTACGCATACGCCATGTGCTCCCTTTACCACCAGACTCTTAATGTCAAACTGATTAATAGATAATTACGTTATGTTCTAGCTAAAAAGCGCTTCATCTTCTAGTAATGGACAATTGGAATGTTTTGGCAGTGCAGACCTCCTCATCGGCGATTGGACGTGATGACATTAATGTCGCATCAAAGGAGCGTTTGGTGAGTATAAGACCTGATAAGCACAATTGAACATACAGGTGGGAATTCACGTGAGGGAGAAATGAGAGTTTTGAACGTATAGAGAAAAACTCTTTAATAGTTTGCGCTCATTCAGTGGGGGTGTATGACCGAGTTGCTAGTGAAAACAACACAAAGCTGTTGTTGTTGATCGCTCGAAGATCACAAAAACCTCAAACATACCTACTTAGCTATGTAAATAGCTTAGAGTAAAAGCGGCACAAGTTTGTTGTTGTGAAAATTCAAAACAATCTCTCAATTTGTCTAAAAATAAAACCGTCTCGACGCTCTTCGCTATTACTGTGAGCATCATGGAGCGAGCGCTAATGCCAGCAGTTTGTAGGAAACATTGCGTTCGATGTGATTTGTGTTGAGATTGGGCATTAGCGAAGGCAATCTTTTTACATAAGCCGATCGAAGGCAATCAAAAATATTTTCATGTTGAATTTTTCATGAAACCGAAGTTGTAATTAAAAAAGTAATTAATTGTTCAGAATAAATTCAAAAGTTAAAGAATAAGTGCGTGAAATTTCATAATGGATTTGTCAACTGATATTTGGGGTCAACTGGCTGTGGAGGCGTCACAGGTGTACCTTTCCGATGGCACTGTGCGCTCACCCTTCGCTGATACGGTACGATAACTCCGAAGATCGCTAGAAAATAGTTGCCAAATTATATTTAACAAAAAATAATAAATATTGCCTAGCAAAAGCATATATTAGTCCAATATATAGTATGTATATACTATATATATACGTACGTATGTATGTACGCTGGCATCTATGCTATTTTTGTGCTTTGACGGGGGTGCATTCGCCATAATATCAATTTGCGTTGTATGCAGCATATAAATACATATTGGTTCTATCATAAAGTATACCTGTGGCAACCTAGACATTTCGCGACATCCCTACATTGACTATTTCTACCAACTCTTGCTTTTTAGACGATCGAGAAATTGCCCGACAAAGTGATACTACACATCTTCTCTTATCTGTCGCATCGCGAGATTTGTCGTCTGGCGCGCATCTGTCGACGTTGGCGTCAAATTGCCTACGATACACGTCTGTGGAAGAATGTCTCTCTGCGTCCGGAGGTCTCTGGTTTGCACGTGGGCTCACTGGAGTCACTGCTTGCGTTGATTTCGGTGCGTTTTGGTCCAACGCTGCGTTACATTGAGCTACCGATCGAGCTGATCACACACACGGTGCTGCATGAGCTCTCAGCCAAGTGTCCCAATCTCACACATATGTTGTTGGATTTCTCCACAGGTGAGTGTTGAAATACTTACTGTGCATAGCAAGTGTCTTATCACGGTCTCTTTAACAGCCATGCAGTTGCACGATTTCAGCGAGATGCAAGCTTTCCCCACCAAGTTGCGTTACATGTGCATTTGCCTGTCGGAAGTGATCTTTATGGAGGGTTTCATGCGTAAGATCTACAATTTCATTAACGGTCTGGAGGTATTGCACCTTATTGGCACCTATGAGAAGTGCGAAGAGGAGGAAGAGGAAATTTACGAGGTCATCAATGTGCATAAACTCAAGTCGGCAACACCGAATTTACGTGTGATCAATTTGTATGGCATCAATTTTATTGACGATTCGCATATCGATGCCTTCAGCTCGAACTGTATTCAGTTGGAGTGTTTGGCTGTGAATTTTTGTAATAAGGTGACTGGCAGCACTTTAAAGACATTGATACAGCGTTCGAAGCGCTTGAATTGCTTGCTCATGAACGGCACCAGTCTGAAGTCGGAGTATGTGATGCAGGTCGAGTGGGACAAATGCGCTTTGCAGGAGTTGGATATTACTGCAACTGATTTAACCACTGAATGTTTGATTGATCTTTTGACTAGAATACCAAATTTGAAGTTTTTGTCGGCGGGTCAAATTAATGGTTTCAACGATAGCGTACTAAAGCAGTGGATGGAGTCGGGTTTGACGCGGTGAGTACTAATTGGAAAGATCATTATTTAAAAACAACTTTTCTGTTTAAAAAGCATTCACATAAATTTAAAACTCCAAGTTAAGCTAAAAAATTTCCTATTTTTCTATCGATGAGGAGATCTTCCTTTCTTCTCTATCGGAGCTGGAGACTCAATTACATTCGAATGATAGCTAACTTCGTCAATAATTTTTAATTCGCTATAGTATGCTATTTTCTGTCTCATCGGATGCTGGTATTATCAACGTTCTGCGTCACACTTTAAAACGGGAATTCAAAACTTTACTCTTATTTTTTTGGTGTTGACATTGGCTCCAAAATAAACAAGATTGCGATTAAAATTTTTTCTTCCAAAATAACCCCTGTGAGTTATGACGCCATCACCTTGACAGTATAATTGATATAATATTCTACCTAGTCCCATACGTCCTCTTCCCATTTATGCTAATTTTTGTGTTGTCGATAGCGCCTTCAAAGTCTTGTTGAAACCAAAAAACGCCGAGATCACGAACTTCATATGCAGGTATGCGATCCCAAATGCGACAAGTTTGCTTGTTTCCATATCCATTGAGCCAGAAATGGGACTCATCACAAAAAAAAAAAAAAAAAAAAAAAAAAATTTGGCTCGAAAACGTCGCATCTTCTGCGGATTTTTATGTGTTAGTTCCCTGTCAGGAAATACTTTTGAAGCCATGCTTATCAAATATTGATGAAACAAATTGAAAGATAATGCAAGTTTCTTTGAAAAGAAGTACAAGGCATACTAATATATTCTTTCCAATGGTATATACTTTATATATACTTAACTGCCTTAAATACTGATTATATACCTAACCTTTTCTTTATAGATCACTTATTTCTTTGGACTTGGATTCTTCGGACAACATTTCCGATGAAGCGTTGCAGAAGTTCCTAACACGTCACGGCGCACAATTGGTGGCCTGCAGCCTCTCTGGCATGCCACACATTACCGACCAACTGTGGATGGCCATACTACCAGTGCTAAGCAATGCAAAGTAAGTGACAATTTAAACACTCTCATAAAAATATTATCAAAAAACTAAACATGTCTTACACTCACGTTGATAAGAATTATTGTGATGGGCACAGCGGAGAAGCTTGGTGTCAACATACACGTCGATCAATTGATGGACACCATCGCATCGAGCTGCGGCAACTTGGAACGTTTGGAACTGAGGTAAATTGCATTTTTAATCAAAAATAAAAATATGAAAAATATTTAACCTCGTGCAATTCGCGCAGATGGGACCCCGATAATTTGCGTTTCTCGGACAAGAGTCAAAAGGCCATCGATATATTGCGCGTCAAGTGCCTTAAGCTGCGCTGCATGGTATTGAGGTGAGCTGTTGACGACTACCTTTCATGAAACACACAAATTAATTTATGTTAAAATCTGTTTTGTTAATTACCGTTGCTTTTCTTTGTGTTTAGTGACGGACGCTACTATGAAACGGTGAAGGCGAATTTCGAGCGCGCCGATCGTGTGACCGTTGTACGCACGACAACTTGCTGCCGCGTCTCACCTTACCATTTGCTACGCAATTACAACGAATTGATTTTCAATTGAGGAAGTAATATTGTTGCTGTTTTTTTTTTAGCTCTCTCTAGTCATGTTTTGTGTACATTAATCGCTTAAGTTGTCCGTAGCAAATTAGAAATTTGATTTTGTGGCTTGGTATTTGTATGTAAGCAGCTCAAGACATTTGATATTTTCTGTTTCGGAAATTTTGTAAATACAACAACAGCCAAGCGTGGTCAAAATTATCAATGAGATGGTCATAACGCCCGTTTGTAAAAATAAACCAGCTATTTGCGCAAATAATGAAAAACTGAATATAATGCATAATTTAATTTTTTTTTTAATTTAATATGTTTATCAATTCCAACCTTTAATATTATTCTTTACATTGTGTAACTTGGAGGGGGATTAATCCGATTGCAAGCCGGAAATTATCTTTAATTATTCTTTGATTTAATATGGAAAAATTGGTATCCTTGATCCCGTTACCGACCTCCAAGAACACCTTAGAACCGTTCCCACAACAGTCGGGTTTAAGTAACCGGAATCGACCCGGATTTTTATACGGCAAAGGACTGTAAATTCGGCGTCATGCCTCGAAATTACTTCGGGGATGTTTTCTGCCGCTACAACAACAACAACAACACATCAGAAAAGTTGTATCTAACGACGAGGAAGATTTTTCTGCTTAAAGTTATCTCAAATTCAAAAATTAAAAGCAAATTATTACTAGAGATGAATACAGCTACTGAACAAAGAACTAATCAAACCTTGGTTTTTTGATAAATTGCGGCTTTCGAAAAAATTTTTTTTGAAAAAATTACACTCTGGTCTTAAAATATCGATATTATCATAAAGAAATCTTATTCTTCGAACATTACCCGACAAATACATATATCTAAGTTTAACAAAAATATTGTTTCGGAGATACAGCCTTGAGAACTTGTGAGCTCGACGCTAGCTAGGCTAAGTGCGCCGTCTCTATATGGGTTTTTCTCTGAAATGTGTTTTTGAAGTCGGTTGGTAAGATTTCTTGAGAACTACTCAACCGATTTTTATGAAATTTTACACGTCTTTGAGACCCAATTCATAAAGACTTGTACGAAGGTTTTATTCGGCTGCAACTATTTGAAGAAAAAAATGTTCACTGGAATTTGAATTTTTTTGTAAAAATGTCTGCCTAAAATTTAATTTTCAGTTTTTTTCCTTCGTCCAAGTTCTATGTTGAGGTTGTAATTAAAACACGTATTTTTCACTTTAGACGATGTTGTAAGGAGGTATCCTGCTAACGCGGACCCACCTTTTTTCCTTTTCTTTTGGCGTCGCAATGGCCGTGTTTAAAATATTTTTTTCCATTTGTTAATAGTATATGTTTGTAACAATAAAAAATTCTAATAATATATTTAATTTTTTATATCTAAAAAAATGCTAATAAAATATTGAATTTTTTTATATCATTTTTTTTTTTTTTGAAAAAATGCTGTTTTTACACGAGGAAACTCGTGTAATCCCTTAATTCCCTTAGTCAAAATGCTTCATAAAAACTTGTTGTAAGTCACACATTCTACTTCAGACGCTACTCTCTCTTTCACACATTACTTTTTTCGTTGCAGCCAATCTTGAGAAATAAGAAAAAATTTATATTAAAATAATTTAATTTTTAATTAAACGTCTAAAAATCGCTTGTCATAAAAATAGATTTATAATTTTTTTAAAATTTTTAAACTCACAAAATGTTAGGCATTACATGTATGAATATTTAACAAGCGCATACATACACTAATTGCAAAAGAATTACCCACAGCCATCTTCAGCCAGAAATGTCATATGAAAATTTCATTTTAATTAAATGAATATAATTACTTTTTAAACAATATACAAAATTATAGTGTTTATTTAATCTCGACTAAATTCTTAAGTGTTTATTTATTTTTTTTTTCTATTTTATTTAATGTTTTTCGTTAACGCTTTGTGTATTTTATGCACTATTTGAGTTGGCGTGTGTGTGTGGATGTGTAAGTATTCACAATTTTCTTTACGGCTCGGTGTTGCGTGTGGCGTTATCTCATTTCTACGCCAATTTTTTTTTTAAACTTAGAGTATACATATAATAATATAAGTAGTTATATTTACAAATATTACAGTTTACCATAGAGCACGGCGCCAATGCATTTAATGGTTTGCTTCCGTCTTTTTTTTTCTTGGGTGTTTTTCGAGGGGTGTAAGTCTTGCTGTTTTGTCTACGGCAATTACAACGCAATGTGTTATCAACGGCGGCAAGTATCCGCTTTCGTCTAGTTTAAACGTCAATCGTGTGCGTATATCCGTGGTTATTGCTACAACACGAACGCTTTTGGTGGTGCTGGGTGAGTGAGTGTCTGCCGAATGTTTCACTGCTTGCTTGCCAAGGATTTGTCTTTTCTTTTTATACAATTTTTATATTTCTCTAATGGCTTGCCTTTTTCGGGTTGTCGCTTGGACCGCAAGGACTAAAATTAGCTTTTATACAGCTAACAGTATATATGTATGTATGTAAATAATGTTGGAATCATAACATATTAAAATTATTAGCTTTACATATGAACGTTATTTACGTTTTCCATAAGTACACGCTAGTTATCTACATTTCCAACGTTATCATGTCTTTTGTTGTGTTTCTTAATGTTTTTTGTGCCTGACACACGCGCACCCAAATCCCCATTTACATTCAACCCCATTCAACAGTTTGTTTGAATTTTTACTAAATTTCTTTTAATTTAATATTTTTTTTTTTTGTTTTAACTGTACCCCAAATGTTTATTCCTGTATACCAATGTCAGGTGACCATCGAAATGTCTGTGTACTATTGCTGGCAGCGGCTGCGGCTACAGCGGCAGCTGAGGATGTCGTGGCTGCAGCGTTTGTGTTGGTTGCATTATTGCTTGTCAATCTGGGTGTTGAACTCGACGAACCGGACATGTGACCCTCGTCGGTTTCATCCTGCAAGCAGATTTTTGCGTTTAATATTTTTATTTTTTGTTTTAAAAATCAAAATAAAGCAAGAAAAAATGTTAATTTCGACAAGTGACCAGCTCCTTGGGAATGGAAAAGGACGTATGCAAAACTACAGATCGATATTTTAAAAATTGAGGGACTAGTTCGCGAATATACAGATGGGCATATAAACAGACACGGATAAATCGATTGAATTCGTTTGCTAGGTTAGGTTGGGTAACAAACTTCGTGGCAACCTTAATCTAACTTGTTCAGGGTATAAAAAACTTACATTGTACTGATGAATAGGCGCCGGCGTGGAACCCTCAATTGGCGCCGGTTCATCACTTTCGTCATTTTTATCTGTATACATCATAATCTCGTGACATAGTGGGCAGCGATCTTGCACATACAACCATTTTCGTAGACATACACCGTGGAAATAGTGGCGGCAACGTGTAATTTTGGCAGAATACATTTCCTGTAATAAAATTTAAAATACCGAATATTAGTTTAAATCGATAGCAAGCAAGAAAATTTGTCATTACCTGATAACAGATGGCGCAAACATCATCGAATGCGCGCAATTGCGCTGATGTCGCCTCGGGCAGTGCTGAGATCTTGTGTACCGCGGAGCGTCGCTTCATGAACACAGACCAACCGGCCCGAGCCTCACACCAAATGTTGAAGTAGGCATGTATGCACATCATAACTGCACGTATGGTACCGCCTATAACATTTTCGGCTATCAAGTTACATGTTTTATTATAATAAATTAATTAGAACCCAAAAGAAATGAAAACAAAAAACATAAAACAGGTTCACACAACAATCTTTAGACAAGCGCACGTCACACGATAAATGTGCACAACGAATGAACTATAAAAACCAAAATTATGAATGACCATTTGATGCAGCTGTAACATATAGTTCTTGATGTGAGATTAACATAGTTTTTATATGTACATCATGTTTAAATTAAAATGATGGCATGAAATGAGGATGGCAACGGCTTTAGAAACATACATACATCATAAACTTTTAAAACCCTTTTGTATTTGGCCAACTATGTGAGTTGGCTGCGGAGTACGCATAAACTGCACCTACGAACTTCACCACCATAATATTTGATTTTAAGTGACAAATAAAAATAACAACATAACTAGACATATCACAGCGGAAAAAACTCACCCGACTCGAAGACCAATATCCAGGCACCGTTAAAGAAAAGCAATATACCAAAGCAAAACTCAACAGAATTACCAAAAGCGCGCACATAATATAAATAATCATCAAGCTTCTCCCAGAATGTTTGTCGTCGTGCATCGAGCAGGAATAGCGTGTATGTGGCCAACGAAACGAGCACCTGCAAAGTGACAATTTCATATAGAGAACTTGTAATGAAACAATAATAAGCAAAAAGGCACACATACCTTTACAACAACTTCGACCGAGAACGCCGTTACCGCTAGCAACCAAGTGGATGGCGAGTGACGTGACCAGAGCACTGCAAGCAAACAAATCGGCGTGACAACCAAAAAAGCGCAAACTGTAAGTGCGCGTACATGACGTTTGCGTGAAGGATTGCGTGCCGCACTCAATGACATCAGTATGGGCGACACAATATTGTGTAGGAAATGTAATAAAGCTGTAATCAATAAGCACAAATTTCGACACAAACGGACAAAACGTTTATCGGGCGACAAGGAGGTTAGTCCCGTTTGTAGGGCGAGTATATAAAAGAGTACCGCTGAAACGGTGCCCAATGATTTTTCCTCGTCATTGTCGAATGTTAAAAGATACCATTGAAATCCGCGCCCAATATAGTGACATATCACCGAAATTATTGAAGTCATGCCCAGCACGGCAGTGAGCGTTTCGCAGCCATCGACCAGCAGTTTCTGCATGGTGGGAAAGAAGCTTATTGGTGCAGTGCCATCTGAGAGCATCACTATGGAAATTAATTCCTGGCCAATTCTGTAGGGAGATAAATAAAACTTTTATATTCTATATTTTATGGTACTTGCTGATTTTACCTTATACTCCAAAAGACGCGCAACACACACGGCACATTCAAACGTTGCCACTCATTCTCGATCAATGCGGATAAACCGAAGTTCGACACAAAATTCATTGCATATTGATAGCCATTATAAACAGTTTTGGCAGCATCTACAGCACTGTTGAGCATAGTCATTTTCGTTAATATTAATGGTACCGCACCGGCTAGCACTGGTAAGTCTTTAATAATGCGCGGTGGTAATGGTAACATGGCTAAAAATATTGGCCCGGCAAATACAACTGGCATAATTTTTTGTATCGTTGGATAACGTGGTCCTAAATGCACATAAGCGAAGAGCATACCCATAAACCATTGCGCCACTAGGTGTGGCAACACCGATAAAGCTATGCCGCCTGTATCAAGCAGTCGTGCCGTATTTAATGACAGCAGATCTTCTAACAAGCACGGCGATTTCTCCATTAATGCCAGCGCAGAAACATTTGACCAATATGATATAAATGTCAAACCCAATGATATCACAAACATGTAGACCATCACCAAATGCCGTGTCCATAGCATAAATATGCAAGCAGCACTTAGAAAAACTGTGGAACATTGCAAAAATTAATAATACTGCAATGAGGCATATCTCAACTAAAAAAAAGTATCGTAAAATTGAATTATACATCAGAGGAGCATAAGAAAAGGTCTTTCTATTTACATTAGAAAATTTCTATCTTTCCATAGCATTTCATATAGAAATATGTAGGGATATTTTAGAAAAATTACGCTTATATTAAAACAAGAAAAAATTTGAACTTTGGTTGTATCAAAGCTAGAATCTCTTTCACAAATAAAGAGGTCTCCATAATAACTTGAATTTGATTGTTTAGTAGTGGTACGATATCTGCGGTTTGCGCAAATTAACGGAATCGAAAGAAAAATACGTGTGCAAAACCTCAGATCCATATCTTAAAAACTGTAGATAGCTCTATATACTGGCAGACGGAACTTGCAAAATCAAGTCAGCTCGTCACACTGAACATTTGTCTCCGACGTTTCCAACCGGGTTTACCTTCTTCAGGATATAAAAAGTGAAAACAAATAATTTTCTATTTTCGGTGGAGTTTATCTTATGTAGAACAGGCTGGATTTATTACTGGCAATACCAAGCCTACATTTTAAAAAAACTAAAAGAAAAAAATGTGTTGGATTTCAATGCATTTAAAGAATATTTAAGACAGGTTCAAGTGGCAATTAGAAAAAACGAAACAGCATCACATTTGTTTGTATATTGTCGTTACATATACACATGTATTTATGCAATAAAATTCAAACATTAAAAGTTCGTGCTTAACTGTGCTATTCAGAGGTCGTTCATTAAACTTTAAAGTACTTAACTACTTAAACGTATTTGTATGTAGTTACGGTATTACCGGATTTTTTCTGACAATTCATTGCTCTACTTTTACCCTTCAAGGCTTTTAACGAATTTTCATCGAAAAAAATTTAGCGTTTTCTTGATTGCCTAAAGCCAGACACTAACTAGCACTTATTAAAAAAAGGAAATAAAACAAAAACAAACAACCAGAAATTTGTTGACTCATTATGATTGCATTCGATTAGAGCGCGGTGAGCGCAAACACGAAACTAAATACCAACTCGACGAGACGAGAATTTTTGTTATGATTTTGGGGTAACACACTTGATAGCTTACGGACAGAACAGCGTCAGCTCTTTTTTTTCTATATATGTATAGTTTTAATTGATTTATGACGTTTCCATAATGATAACACTTTGATTTATAAAAGATGATGTAAAAACATAATAAGAAACAGTTTACATACCAAATAAACAGACAATAAATTTCACCGATGTTATCGACAACACATCTGAAAGAAATGTGTCCTGCGACAATTCATTCATCATGTTGCCAAACGAACTACTAAGTACACCACTTGTGGCGGCTGTTGCGGATGCATTAATTATGGCACGCTCTAGCGGGCTGTCGCCACCTGCATTATCGCCACTAGTGCTATTTATAAGGCTGGCATTGTTGAGCTCCGTAAAAACCGTAGATGCTTCAACCGTCATTTTGGCGTTACTCGGTGTTTGGTTTGCTGTAAATTTGGCCGTCAGTAAACTCGGATCAGCTGGTGAGGGGTAAAAACGCGTTGGTAGTCCCATACTAATTTTGAGTACCTCATCTATGACTAATATTGGTGGTACACGCATCATTACGTCCACTAGTCCGAGTACTTTGGTGCGCACAGACATTTTTAGAGTGTATTATGCTGTTCTTAGTTTGTGTTCACCTTGTCTTGTAATAAGTAATAAATGAACAAGACATATAATAGAACAGTTAGTGGGTCAGTGACCAATGACGTGCAGTTTCTTCACCTGAAATTGTTACTTGATAACCAACCTTGAGTCGTGTACACTGAGTTGGGCTTAGGCACCACTGATATTTGATATATATTGCACATTCAATCCGACTTGTATGAGCTTTGCGATAATGTATAAATTTTGTTGCAATTTATAATTTTACATACGATAGTCGTGGCCTTATCGCCGCCTTAGATGTGTTTGTGTCCCCACCTTAGCCTGGGTTATTAATTTATTCAAGCACAGATTGCGAACAAATAAATCTTTACACTTTTTCTGTACTGCCTGTTACCTCTCACCACCTTGAAGTCCTGCACCACTTCAGGTGTTGGCAAGTACGTCTTTTGTTTACAAATTTTTCTTTACACTTTGATGGAAAAGGCATAAAAATTTTACAAATGTTTTTATCCCGAACTTTGCTTTCCTTTTTCGATGTCGTGAATTATTAACGCTTCTTCTTTCTGTTCGTGTCGTGAATTGACTTTGGAAGCAATAATGTTTCGTTTTCTTGTTATTGCTATACAAATCAGAGCAGCTATCTCACTTCGGCATATATGTGTAAATTGAATTGACAGTTATGTGTTTGTTTTGCTACAAAACGAAATGTCAATTTTGAAGAGATGCCTTATCAAGCAACAAAACTTTATAAAAATAACTGCAAACCTTTCGACAACTAGCTGTTTTGTCATTATTATGTAATGTGAATACACTTCGTGTGAAAAAAATTAATTTTCTAATTTGTTTATTACAGTAAATATATCTTTTGCTGTATAAATAACGGAAATTACAGCTGCCATGCAAACACCACAACTAGGTGGCGCAAAACCTCGCTGTTGTGACTTCCAATTCAAGCTGAAAGCCAAGATAATAAGTCAAATGAACGCTCGCTGATAAAATTTTATTTTTCTTTGTGCAAATAATTGTGCACGTGTTATCAGTATGCTGTAAATTTTGTGCCAGTTCAATAAGCTTTTGAAAAATACCGCTTTAATACGTACGCGCTTGCAAATAATGCGATTTTATATCAAGGAGCATGCTATTGGTCCTCATGCGTAAAATTTGTGTGCAATTTGAGTCTTTTGTAAAAGTTGCAATTATAATATATTTCATTGAATTCCTTCAGTCTTAACTGCGCATATGTGAATATGTTTAGGAAAGACATTCTGTAGTTTGCTTTTGAAGCAGGATGTTAAACATAAAGTTTCCCGTCATAGAGCACCGGAAGACACTTCGACTTTTGGAATTGGTGCTTGAGTACTCGTAGCAAGTTTCGCGCAGAGTTCATATTCATATACTCCCCTCGAAATATTTATTTCCCAATCAGTTGCTTTCGTTGTTTAAGGTGACGTTTTATGTTTTTCAATTCAATTCAGGTAAACAGAACGTATAAATATGTAATGCAATGTAATATTCTTCTTCTTTATTGGCGCAGATAGCGGTTATAGCTGAGCTCACAACAGGATATTAGTAGTGGAGTATTTGGATGCAATAAATAACGAGTATGAGTTTTTACACTCTTGCAACATGCTGACGCAGAGTATAATAGCTTTGTTCACCTAACGGTGGTTCATAACACCTAAAAAAAGTCAAATTAAACGGTTATATATACAAATGATGAGGATGATGAGACGAGTTGATATCCGGCTGATTGTCTCTTAGGGTCAACACGTTTGGAAAAACCGGTGTGGCCGCGGCGCTTAAAAGGTTTAAAGTGCATATCTCCTAAACCACTCGAGATCAAAATTTGTTCGGAACAAATCCTATAAGGAATCATAAGATTTTATACCTGAGATAATAAAAGCGTACTTTATGGAAGACGAGGTGAAATTGGACGATGAGAATGACACTATCCACACTTCATGAAAGCAGACATATTTTCAACGTATATTAAATCAAAACGCATATTTAAAATTATTAATTTAATTCAAAACTGTTTATGGCATTTTGGTAGCGCCTTCTTAACGCTTACCGAAGTACATCGAAATAATAATAATAACTTATTAAATAATTTATTAATATTTGAATAGAATTTTCACTTATGAGTCTATAAGGGGGAATATATTTATCCGATACATGTACGGTAAATCATATATCTTTCGTTCAATAAATACCAACACCGCTTACAAAATGATTTTGACCCAATGCTAAGCACATATATACACATATCTATAAGTAAATATGTGTATAATAACATTAAGCTAAAGCAGTGACTAATTTAAGTAGTAATTATTACATAAGTACACGCCTAAGCACTAATTACAAATATTCTTGCGTCATTTGCAGCGCATGCCACGCGTGCAAAATGTACCGAGCGCATGCGCCGCAAACAATTTGAATATTGATATGCATTCTAAGCATAACACTAAAAATTAACTTAAATAAATATGGATTATTGTTTAATATTAGTTAGGGAGTTAATTTCCCTCGCAAGTTTTTTCATACTCAGTGTCAAGCTTAAACTTTCAAATTTCTGCGTCGATTGCCTATGTTCGCCCATTCTACGGGCAAATCGCCGCCGGTCTCATATTTAGCCGGCATGCAATTGAGCAGTTTCTGTGCACGTTCGCAGCGCCGACTAACAGCCCAATAGGCGAAACCTTGCGGGCAGCGGTAGACTTGGCCTTCCAGCCGACCCGTCGTCGGCGAGTGAGCACATTTGATGAAGAGTTGACTGCATTCGTCCTTGTTTAGTGCAAAGTGGCCTTCGTTGGGGCACAGTGACTCGCCGACAGAACGAATTTTTATCTGTACGAAATTGAAATAAAATTATTTAAATAAAAATTGATAAACAACATTATATTACATCCTAATACTCACCATATTCATGAGTCTTATCTGGTCGTCGTAGAGACCCGATCGCGTTATCGATTTCTTCAGACAGTTGTCGTCTTTAGTAGGCTTATCGCAAAGGTTCCGTTGTTCATGATACACCGTGCCTTTGGGACACTCGAAAACGGTTATTGCCAAATCGTAGCTCTCGGCTTTCTCGGTACATTGATAGAATAAGTCACAACTCTTCGGATGCCGCCGAAAGCCGGTTGGGCAGACAAAAGTGTTTTGACCTTCACCGGTTTGGGGGCAGGGCGAGCTGTCATTTGTAACAGGGCCTGGTTTTATTGTTGTTACTGATTGAGTTGTTGTTGTTGTTGGTGGGATGGTAGACTGCTCCGTGGTGGAATATATTTCGGTAGTTGTGGTTGGTTCAGCAGTGGTTGTGAATACCGTTGTGGAAGTAGGTTCTGTTGACGGCTCTTGTGTTGTTGTAGTAGATTGTTCTGTGGTTGGAGTTGTTGGTATAGTTGTTGGTTCATCGGTTGTTGTTTGCTCCGTGGTTGGTTTTTCTGGCTTCTCAGTGGGTTTTTCGGTAGGACTAGTGGTCGTCCACTCCGTTGTAGTACCTTCTGTTGTTGTGCCTGGAGCACTTGAGCAATTACCCGACACACTGTCGGGGAAGTTGCATGTCTCTAGCGATGTGTCCCAAACGGTACCGTCCGGACAGCGGAAGCTATAAATTTGATATTTACCGTTCTTACTTGCATCAACACAACGATAGTAACGATTGCAATCCTGTGGATCGGGGTAGAAACCTTCATTGGTGCAGACATGATTAACTGGTTCGACTGTTGTGCTCGGATATTCTTCGGTAGTCGTCGGAGTTGTGGTAGAGTCGGTAACCGGTTTATCTGTGGTGGGTTTATAGCCCGGCTTTAAAGTGACTGGGTACTGTGTTGTATCCGTTGGAATGGTCATAGTCGTTTGTGGTTGCACTGTTGTGGTCGTTTCCGGGAAATTGGTGCTCGAGCTCTCAGTGACACTGGAGCTTTCAGGAAGTGTTGATGTTTCTATTGTTGTTGTTTGCTGTGTAGTAGAGTCGGGTATTGGGTTTGTTTGCGCCGATTGTGTAGTTGTTGTCCATTCAGTGGGTTTGGTGGTTGTTGAAGTATTCAATGTCGTTTCTGTAGGACGGGTAGACGTTTCAGGCTCTTCAGTTTGTCCTTCACATCGTTCTATATTTCCAGCGTAGTCACAAGTTTGCTTATCTTCGCTCCAACCTGTGCCCTTGGCACATGTGAATTCATATCTCGTGTATCCATTGCCTTCGCGAACACAACGATAGAATTTCTTGCAATTCATTGGATCTGCCATATAGCCTTCGCCTTCGCAAGTTTGTCCTGGTGGTAAATTTGGTACCGGCGTGGTCGATGTTGGTTGCGGTGTTGTTGTAGAGTCATCTCCAGCTTCTGTGCTCCATGTCGATGTAGCGGTCGTAGTCAAAGGTATTCCCGTTGTGGTCCATGCTGTTGACGTTTGGACTGTGGTGGTATCCGTTGGAATTGTTGCTGGTTTATCCGTTACGGTCGTAGTTGTTGAGCTCTCTTCTGTGGTTGGTTTTTCCGTTACGATCGTAGTTGTCGAACTCTCTTCTGTGGTTGGTTTTTCTGCTGTAACTGTAGTAGTAGAACTTTCGACTGAGGCTTCTGTAGTAGCGGTTGAGGTTTCAGGCGCCTCGGTTTGTCCTTCACACCGTTCAATATTTGTCGCGTAGTCACAAGTTTGTTTATCCTCGCTCCAACCTGTGCCCTTGGCACAAGTGAACTCATATTTCATATATGAATCCCCTTCACGAACACACCGATAGAACTTCCTGCAATTCATTGGATCCGCCATATAGCCTTCACCTTGGCAAGTTTGTCCTGGTGGTAAATTCGGTATAGGCGTGCTCGATGTTGGTTGTGATGTTGTGGTAGAGTCATCCCCAGCTTCTGTGCTCCATGTCGATGTGGAAGTCGTTGTCGAAGGTATCTCCGTTGTAGTCCAAGCTGTAGACGTTTGGACCGTGGTGGTTTGCGTTGGAGCTGTGGTCGGTTTTTCTGTTACGGGTGTAGTTGTTGAGCTTTCTTCTGTGGTTGGTTTTTCGGCTGTTACCGTAGTGGTAGAACTTTCGATGGTGGTTTCCGTGGTGATGGTCGAGGTCTCTGGTTCCTCGGTTTGTCCTTCACACCGTTCAATATTTGGCGCGTAGTCACAAGTTTGCTTATCCTCGCTCCAACCTGTACCCTTTGCACAGGTGAACTCATATTTCGTGTATGAATCCCCTTCGCGAACACAACGATAGAACTTTCTGCAGTTTAATGGATCAGCCATATAGCCTTCGCCTTGGCAAGTTTGTCCTGGTGGTAAATTCGGTATAGGCGTGCTCGATGTTGGTTGTGATGTTGTGGTAGAGTCATCCCCAGTTTCTGTGCTCCATGTTGATGTGGCAGTTGTTGTCGAAGGTATTGCAGTTGTTGTCCAGGCCGTTGACGACGGGACTGTGGTGGTTTCCGTTGGAATTGTTGTTGGTTTATCCGTTACGGTCGTAGTTGTCGAGCTCTGTTCTGTGGTTGGATTTTCGGCTGTTACCGTAGTAGTAGAACTTTCGATGGTGGTTTCCGTAGTGACGGTCGAGGTCTCCGGTTCCTCGGTTTGTCCATCACATCGCTCAATATTTGTTGCGTAATCACAAGTTTGCTTATCCTCGCTCCAACCTGTACCCTTGGCACAGATGAATTCATATTTTGTGTAAGAATCTCCATCGCGAACACAACGATAGAACTTCCTGCAATTCATTGGATCAGCCATATAACCTTCACCTTGACATGTTTGTCCCGGAGGTAAATTCGGTATGGGCGTGGTTGATGTGGGCTGAAATGTTGTCGAGTCGCTTTCAGTTGTCGAAGGTTGCGTTGAAGCACCGGTCGTAGGGTTTGTAGTTGACGGTGTGGTCGAAATAGCCTCTGTTGTAGACCCAGTCGATGGGGGTTGAGTTGAGATTGTGGTTGGCTTCTCAGCTATGACCGTAGTTGTTTGAGTGGTTGATTCAAAAGATGGAGTTTGCGTCGAAGACTGCCCATGAGTGGTGGTGGGTCGCGATGTGATTGGCGTGGTCGAAGGTGATATAGTTGTCGTAACTTGACTTTGAGCAGTTGTAGGTTTACCAGTGCCAGAATTTGGATTACACTTATTTAAATCGTGATTGCATGTCTGTAATTCGTTGTCCCATACTGTGCCATCTCCACACTTGAACGGATATTGCGTAAAGCCACCTTGACCGTTGCTTACACAACGATAGAAAATGGTGCAGTCTTTAGGATCTCCAATAAAGCCGTCCGTTCGGCATATTCCAGGCGTCACAATTGGTCTCTGCGTGCTTATAGTGGGTGGCGCACTTATGGGAGACTGTGTAGTGTTACCGGGACGATTAGTAGTTTGCGTAGGCCGTGAAGTGGTCGGCTTTTGCACTTGTGTGGGTGGTGTTGTAGACTGCTGAGGAACCGTAGTACTAGAAACTTGCGGTGCTTGAGTTATTTGTGTGGTTGGTGATTGCTGGCTGGCGCTTCCTGTGCCACAGCTTTTATCCTTCACCGCCCACGGATGATTACAGGCGACAATTACGCTGTCCCAAACAGTTCCTGGTCCACAGGTAAACGGTACTTTATCATAACCACCCTTACCATTATCAACACAGCGATAAAATTTGGCGCAATCCTTTTCATCACCCACATATTTTGTTTTACTGTCGCAATTACCTGATGGCTTTGATTGAATTGTAGTTGTGGAGTTTGTACCTTGTGTTGTTGTCGAACCTTGGCTGTTCGATCCTTGTGTTGTGGTGCCCTGTTGACTGGTTGATGAACCTTGTGTTGTTGAAGAGCCTTGAGTTGTAGAGGAGCCTTGACTGCTGCTCGAGCTTTGTGAGGTTGCAGTACTTTGGTTTGTTGAATTTTCCTGACTGCTGCTTGAACTACTTGATTGTGTGCCGCTTGATGATGATTGCTGACTTGAACTTGTACTACTTGAAGTGCTTGATTGTTCATTGCTTGAAGATCCCTGTGTCGAGCTTGAGGAACCAGACTGACTACTACCAGATGATTGCTGACTTG